ACCATTGTGCGTTTAGCACCATCTGTGCTCTGATTTCTACTGGAAATACAAAGTAAGTGTGCTCTGCTTTAAGGGGACTGTAGGCTTTTATTTTAAAGCAAGTTCTGATTTTGTGTTTCTACAACATAGGAAAAAAAGTTGAGGACTTTGATGAATGTAGGAAGATGCAGAATCACCTCTCTTTAGAAGCTTGGCAATTAAGGAGAAGATAAAAAATGGAGAAGATAAAAAATAGAGAAGTAGGAAAAGTAGGATTGGGGATTTTATTTCTTTAGTTTTTAAATTCGAAATCCTGCCTCAGCCTCCCAGAGTCCTGAGATTACAGGCATGGACTACCAAGGGCTGATCAGACCCTCGGCTACCTTTTGCGGGGAACAACGAGGAATAGAAGAGACAGAGACAATTTTTCAAGATATAAAGGGGGGACCAAGAGGAGACCCGCCTCTAGTGGACAGACTCAAATAAAACTCCATGGTTGGTCCACTTTCATTAGCCAGTGAGAAGCACAGGGGGAGAGGTAACACACATTTCGTGGAACAGCAAATATAGAGAATGGGTGGATAAGGATTAAGTTAATGAGGAACTAGATTTTCTCTACACCCAACTGCCTGTAGATGGACAGCTATCCTCAGCAGATGCTGCCTTGCCTCAGGAATGTGCGTTTATCAGCATTTGGCCCACAGCCAGGGGACATGTGGCCTTCCACATACTTCCCTGTTTCAAGATAACACTGACCTGGGGACTGTGGAATCTGAGTTACTTAGCCTAGTCCCCAACAATGAACCATCATGCCCTCCCTATTTTTTTGTTTTTAGAAAGACTTGAGCTTGTTTAAAAGGCTAGGAGACAACAGGAGAACACAGGAGGTGGAGGAGTAAGAGAGAACGGACAATGAGAAGGTGACTGGCTTGGTTTTTGGTGCTGCTATAACAAAATACCTAAAACTGCACAATGTATAAAGGACAAAGACTTATTTTGGAGTTGGGTGCAGAGATGGCTTATGCCTATAATCCTAGCAGTATGGAGCCTAAGGCAGGAGAATCATGACTTTGAGGCCAGCCTGGGTTATACAGCAAGTTCAAGGTCAGCTTGGATCAAAATAAACTAACAAACAAAATAAAATAGCAAGATCTTGTGTCAAAATAAACTAACAAACAAAAAAGTACTTTCTGGGCCAGGGATTTAGCTCAGTGGTTTCCCCGCCTGCTGCACAAGCGCAAGGACCTGAGTTCGATCCCCAGTACCAAAAAAAAAAAAGTATTTTCTTACAGTTCTGGAGCTAGAATATTCAAGATCAAGACACAGGCATCTGGCAAGGGTCTTATTTCTATGACCTCACATGGTAGGGCAGGAGGGAGTGGAAGAAAAAGCTCTTGAGTACTGCATAAAGTCTCCTTTACTGGAATCTTGATCCCATGAATGAGCGAAGAGTCCTCAGGGGGTGGCCCACACCAACAGCCAGGAGGCCATGACAGGAGAATCGAGAGTTTAAGGTCAGCCTGGGCTACATAGACACTATCCTCAAAACCAAAAATAAATTAATAAATAAATGGAATTAAAAAGGGCTGGGAGTGTAGCTCAGTGGTTTGATCCCCAGGAGGGAGGGAGGGAGGGGAGGGGAAGGGAAGGGGGAGGAGAGAGAGGGGAAGGGAAGGGACCTCTTAATGCTATCAAACTGACGATAGCTATATATTAGATGAGGTGAAATGTCTGAGGAAAGAGGAAGGTATGAGAATTTGAACACAGGAAGAAAAGAGGAGAAAAAGGACAGGGAACTGATGAGGCTGTTTTAGACTACCTGGTAGTTGCTGGAAACAATTAGAAGACAAGAAGACTACAACCAGATTTCTTTGCCAGTTTCTGTGAATGTCTGAATATCAAGGCAAATATGTATAAATTTCTTCAACGTCATATTAAATTTATGGGTGGCCAAAGAAATAATCATTTGGCTAAATTTTCCCTACTTCGGGACAAGGCTAACATTTTCAAACTTATCCCCCAAAAAAAGTTAATTTGCAATTGAGCTTGCTTTGTTTGGAATATAGAGTTGAATCTGAAGACATTTAATCTGAAATATAGAGACTCAAATACCAACCTTGTTCCTTTCAACATTTACAACACAAATCCATTTCTGAATTCTTCAAGCTGATATTAAAATGTCTTTTCATTTCCTAATTTTAATGATGCTATAAGGATTTTGAAGTTGATGACCAAGAAAAACAAATTCCCACCTCATCCAGCCCAGATACAAGCTGTAACTTTTTGTGTGTCAGGGGTAGATCCAAATTTCCTTTGCAAGACTACAGGGGGAAACTCTGTCTTCCTGATATTCAGTCTATGCTAGAAAAAGCTTCAAGAGAGGTTTAAGTGATACAAATTTGAGTCAGTTGCATAAGAAAATGTTTAGAAAAGCACACTTGGGACTTAAGGATAAAGAAGAGAAGTGCCTCTGTGTGTCATTATCATTTCCATCAAGGGAATTTTGCTAAGCTGATTTATCTGCACCTTGGGCTGTGTAAACAAGGGTGGCAGGTGTGGCTTTGAAAATGCTGTGCCTTCCATACTGCATGGGGCTTATGACAAGCCAGTACTCTCAGTGCTCACATTAGATAACATCACAGTAGGAAGGTTTTAAAAATATGTACTTTTAAAAACTCAAAATATATCTCTTCTTAAAAATCACCATTACTTTTGTTTAGTTATGATGTTTACATTATTCGAAACTTCTCATCACCCAAAGGGAGGTATGAGATTTGTGTATTTATGTAAGAATAAAAAAGAGTTGAGGAACTGGGCATGGTGGCACACATCTGTAATTCTAGCACTTAGGAAGCTGAGGCAGGAGGATTCCAGTGAGTTTGAGACCAGCCTGGACTACACTCAAAAAAAAAATAAAGTTGAGGATGGGCCAGGGATTTAGCTCAGTGGCGCTGCACAAGGTCCTGAGTTTGATCCCTGGTATGTGGGGTGTGGGGGAGTTGAGAAAAGAAAATTTTAAGTGGGGAAAAAATAGTGCTGAGAAAGAAGATGCTGGCAGGATGATAAGGACTCTAGCTGTCTGCAAAGGCTCCTTCTTCTGTGGGAGCAGCACCATCCTGACTATGCGGCAGTCACTTCTGGCTGACTTACTCAATATCCTTTCCAGATCTCCTTTTCCCTTTTATATATCCAACATAGAGGATGGAAAACTATATATTCCTGGTCTCTCCTGAAGCTAGATGGTCACATAACATTGTTGGAGCCAACGGGCTTGCTCTGGTTTGGATCTAGAGTGTCCTCCAAATGCCCATGTGTTAATGGTCCCCAGAATGATGCTATGGGAGGTGGAGGAACCTTCAACAGGCAGCCTCATGGGAAGTCTGAGGTCATGATGTGCTGCCCCAAAGCAATGGGGCCATTTGAACATGGACAGAAATCTCCAAAACTGTGAGTCAAAATAAACCTGTCCTTTTGTAAAGTTGATTTATCTCAGGCATTTGTTACACTGGCAGACACAACTGGTAGTGTCCTTCTTCCTCTTTCTTGAATGTGCCTGTAATATCAGGAACCAGGGCAGCCATTTCTAACCACGAGGGGATGAGCCAAATGCTAAGGTTGGGGAATGGCAAAATAGGAGGGAACTTGTTCTTTGTCCGTACTATAGAGGTGCTGCACCATCTTTTGTCTTTCTCCCACCAGCATTTATGTGAATACAAATGTCTTTATTGCTTAAGCCACTATATGGGTATTGGTGACTTGCAGCCTCCTGCCTCAGACTCCAAAATGCTGAGATTACAGGTGTGCACCACAACACCCAGCTAATATTTCTGAATTTAGAACTACCTATCTGTGTAATTGTTGGATACTAACATAAAGACTAAACCAACTGGATGGCCCTGGTCCTAGATACAGTGTCTACTTAGATTCCCCCAGGTTTCTCTAATTCTAGGGAAGATGATTTCAACCCTGAGGATCTACTCTTTAACAAGCAAATCTACCCAGGCATAATATCCAGAAGTACCTCAGAAAGGGAGTACAAGAACAGAGGCTGGGCTAAGTGGCCAGGAGGCATTTGTTCTCCCCAGAATATTCAGGGTTTTCTTGGTTTCGTGGGCTGTGTTTATCATCTCTTCCTTATTTTCTTGCTTCAGTCACCCCATTTATGAACCCATGAACCCAATAACTCTTATAAAAGTTGTGATAGTCAACCTGACTCCATCTTGAGCCTCAACACCATTTTGTACCTGTGCTTGGACAAAGCACCTCAAACCCATATCCTGCTTAGCAGGATGTTTTATAGCTCACCTACTGTGTGAAACTTCCTTGTGTGCCCCCCACCCTAACTTGGCATGGTTCTGGTTCTGTAAGATTCCACTTGCTCTCCCCTGAGCCCTCCCCAACTGAAAGCATGATTTGAGGAGAAATCAAACCGTTTCCCATTGCTGAGAGAACTTTCTAGGCACTAGCCCCCCTCAGTGGCCGGCTTTAATAAACAGATTCAAATCTGGCACAGAGTGTGGCTCATCTCCATTATTCTAACTCACTCGTCCATAACAAAGTTACCCATAAAAAAATTAGAAAATGCAGAAACAAAACAAACAAAAACACTGCCACGCATGGCAGCACATGCCTATAATCCTAGGTCTCAGGAGGCTGAGGCAAGATGATTGTGAATTTGAGGCCAACCTGGGCTACATATTGAGTTCAAGGCCAGCCTGGAATAATAGTGAGACCTCTCTTTAAAAAAGTTCAAAATTGGGCCAGGGATTTAACTCAGTGGTTCCGCCACCTGCCTCGAAAATGGAAGGACCTGAGTTCGATCCCCGGTACCAAACATACAAACAAACAAAAAGTTCATAATCTCATCATTCAGAGATAGCCGCTATTATAAATCTTTAGATGTGACTGGAACATTTAGGATCCTTGAACCTGTAAATAATACAAACTCAAATTCAAAATGATCAAACAAGGAGACATTGTCTTAATTCCCTTACTGCTGGGACAAAATACCTGATACTTACAATTTAAGGGAGGAGAGGTTTGTTTTGGTTCATGTTTCAGTCCATAGTGGGCAGAGGGGCACAGCAGAGGAGAGCTGCTCAGGGCATGACAAACAGGTAGCAGAGAGTGAAGAGGAGAAAATGGGGAGGCAGATCCACTCTACTAGGTCACACCCCCAGTGACCTACCTCTTCCAACCAACCCCCACTTATTAACACTACATTTAGCTATTGGAACCCTATGATCCAATCACCTTTCAAAAGCCCCACTTATGAGCTCATAAGGCTTTAGGGGGACATCTAGATATAAACCCTAACACATTTCGTTCTGACAGGTCAGAGCAAGAGATGAATCACTCCAGGCAGGATTGGTTAACTCAGCAGTTCACTGAAGTCATCAAGGTGCCAGGTCTTTCCATCTCCTTTCTCTGCCATCCTCAAGGTTCAAGTTGTTGTACTTCCAGACATACCAAGACTCAACATTCATCTGAAGAAGGACTGTTCTTTCTCTTCCCAAAAACTTTCCCACACATCATTTTTCTATTCCTAAACCCATCACTAATAGGAGGAAATGGACCTGCCATATTTGGATTAAAGTAATCAAATTTATCTCCTCAGTTAGGGATAGTCAATTTCTCTGAGCACACAGCAGTGCAAGGGATAAGCATTCTGCCAACAAGGGAAAACATAAAAGGGGTGTGGAGGTTGGGATGAGACATGAATATTGAGGCAGTAACCAATAATGTCTGATATGGTCTCTTTATTTCCTATAAACTTATACACATCTGACAAAAATTTAAATATAAACCATGCACACTGACTGTTGGTCTTTTTCCAATTAGTAAATATTTCTCCAGGTGAAATGATTTTAACGTTTTAATAACACTTTTAAAAATCATTTAGGATTGTTTGTTTTTTGAGGCAGGATCTTACTAAATTGCTAAATTGCCTGGAGTTGACCTCAAATTTATGACCCTCTCACCTCAGCTTGGGATTACAGATATGTGCCACCATAACTTGCTTATAACACCATATTTTAAATTTTACAACATTTAAAGACATTTATAGACATTTAATGTTGTTTCCAATTGTCTATTATTAATATCAATGTGATGATAAACTTTTTTTGGCTTTTGAGATATATTACCAATCTGCTTTATAGAAAAAAATACCAATTTACTTGTATTAGTGGAGTGTGGCAATGTTTAGTTTAATCTTTACCAATACGTTTTTTAAAAAAATCTCTTCTTAAATAATCACTAGTTAGATAGATGCCATAACTCCTGAAGGAAGCATGTGGTTGTTCTACAGGGAAAAGTATTATTGAAACTTAGCTCTGTCTGGTCCATAATGCTTTTCTGATACTGTAGACAAATGAGTGCAGACTAGAATAGCAAGTGCAGGTCTTTCTGCAAGTTTTTCAGAAGAGTAAGGATGCTTATTCAGGCATATGACCACCTATTCTCTAAAAAATGGTCAGAGAAGACATTTGCTTTCCTTGGAAGCTGAGGCAAGGGGGTTGCTATGTATTTAATTTGCATTTAAATTTTTTATTCCCTTCTCTTTTTATTTAACTCTTTACTCAAGACAGGATCTCACTCTGTCATTCAGGCTGGCTTAAAATTAATGATCCTCCTGCCTGAGCCTCCCAAGTGCTGGTATTATAGGCACATGCCACCACTCCCAGCTTCATTTTTAGATTGCTGATATGTATCACTACGTCTGACTTATATCTACATTCTTTCTTCTGTCAGTTCAAATCCACTGTTGAATTCCTTTAGTAAATTTTTTATTTGTTATGTTTTTCAACTCTGTAATTTCTATTTGGCTCTGTTTTATTTATGATGTTCTCTATTTGAAGCAATACTGTTATATCCTTGGCTTCTTTAATCATAGCTTTCTTTAGTTCTGTGAACAAGTTTATAGGCTACTTTAAAGCCTCTTTCTGACAAATCTGACACCTGGCCTCTCTTACAGGCAATCTTTGTTGTCTGTTTTTGGAGGGCTATTTTTTTATGTATGGGTTATACTCTCCTGTTTCTTTGTATACCTCGTAATTTTTGGTTGGAAACACTTTGTAGTGATGCTGGGTATTGTTTCCCCACCTTCTCTAGAGCTCATTTATTCATTTAGTAAATGACTGTATTATTTTACTGAAGTCCATATTCCTTGCACCATGTTCAGCTCTAATCTTGGTTCTTTGGGAGGCAGCTTAGCCAGGCACACTCTGGAATCAAAAGGTTTTGGTACGGCTCACTTCCTTACTTCCCTGACCACATACAGCTGTTATGCCATCCTATTGTCAACTTAGGGTTATAATGTAGAGCATAAGTTGCTCTACATTTTATCCAACCCAGTTCTGGTATCTTTATGGTTTTTTGTTTTTTTTTTTTTGGTTGGTACCTTTCACCACACTCCACCATCCTTGTGAGTGCCTTGAGGCTGTATTTCTTCACTCTTTGTGAATGAAAGCAGTTCTTTCTGAAAGAGATTAGGATATATATTGCATTTTATGGCCTGTTCTCCCCCAAAGCATAATCTCTAGGTCAGGGCACTAGAGCTGGGAGTGGGGACAATAATACGCTCTTTCAGTTCCACTTTTGAGTCTGAGTCCTTGGTTGGCAGGGGAAGTACAGAAAATAAGATTATTCTGAAATTTGCTAAGCAAGAAAGAAGACTGTTCAGATCCATCATAATAGATGTCAAAACTATTGGGATCAAGCTCAATCCTGAACACGGAGGAACAATAGAGATTTGCAGGCAAGGTGCAGGTGGAGGGGGTTGGTATGTGTAAAATAGTTGGTATGTGTGAAAAAGATGTTAATGTAGGAGTAATTCTTTTTTTTTTTTTTGTACCGGGGATTGAACTTGGGGCCTTGCGCTTGCGCGGCAGGTGCTGGAACCACTGAGCTAAATCCCCGGCAAGGTAGGAGTAATTCTTGCTGAGGCAGGCCAAAGTGATCAGATATCAAAGTGATCAGATGGGGGATGAAGAATTTAGATATTGAGAGCTTTGACATCAAGGGTGGGGGAGTTTCTAAATTGGTGTAGGATTCTTACCAAGACCAGGTCTTGATGACAAACTCCAAGAACAAAATCTATCAAGAAATCAGCTTTGAGGACCTTGGATAACATTTGGTGGAGAGAGTCCTTGTCAGTAGGTAGCAGATCGGGTCCTCTTGTTTTGCCTTTCTTGGCATGCAATCACCACACATCCCAAGGCAAAAGTGTCCGGCCTCCCAGTATTCTCAGTAGCCATGCCCATGAGTGGAGGCTTGGCTGGAGAAGGAAACTTCCACCTCTTGACTCCACTTGGGACTTAGCCTCAGCAACAGCAACAGGGGCTGGGAGTAAGATAACAAAAGCTGTTCTGCTTTTTGTAGAAGGCCATCTGGGCATCAGAGGATGTTCTTGGCTATAGCAGTCTATCTGGGGACATGGATGGGAGAACGAGGGAACAATCTCAGTTCAAAAGCACAGACTCCTAACTTACCAAATTTCTGTAGACTTCTTTTTTCCTCAATAGGGGGATCAAACTCAGGACCTTGCACTTGCCAGGCAGGCACAGTGCCACTGAGCTATATCCCTAGCCCTTAGATGTTCTTGAATAAGTTTCTTTGTGTGCTGTTTCTCTATAGGATCATTTCCAGAGGCTTTAAGTGGTTGTTTTTAGTATTCATCAGTTTCTCTGGGGAGTGATCATGAGAACTCTTTATACAGAGTCAATATTTAGAACTTTTTTTAGTGCTGGGGATGGAATCCAGGACCTTGCACATGTTGGGCAAATGCTCGTCCATTGAGCTACACTCGTCTCAGAACATTTCTTCAAAAATACAGGGCTGGCAATGTTATTCTAGGAGTCTCAATATGAAGGAAAATTATTAGATTCTAAGTGGGAGCTTTACGCATGAAAAGTATCTAAACCTGAAATGATTTATAGTACTGTAATTTAAAGGTTAACTTGAAGAAAACTGCTACAGGTGATTTAAATGTTCAGTAGAGAAATCCCGAATGTCATGATTCAATTGCCTACAGATTAAGTTTATTTTATTTTTTGGTACCAGGAATTGAATTCAGAGCCTCTCTCTTGCCAGGCAGGTGCTGCACCACTGAGCTACATCCCCAGTCCAAACTGGTTTTATATCAGTTAGAACTCTTTATTTCAGAATTCCTTGCTCCATTAATTATATGTAATATAGTTTGAGTTCTTTTCTATCTAGCTTTGTCATTCTGCTAGCTCCTTCATTAAGTTGAACTCATGCTCATTATCTTTTGTATGAGAATTACACTTTTAATGGTTTAAGAATTTTGCTTTTCAAATCTCTGGTCTCAATTCCTTGATTTTTTTTTTTTCCTGTACAAACAGCACAGAGCCCAACCAGTAAGACAAAGGGGAAAGACAGCTTTTCCGAGAGTTTGGCCCCTAAAGTCCTCAAGATTCTCTTAGGAGAATTCTGGAATCCTAAGAGGGAAAATGCATGTTATGGGCAGAATTATATCTCTTCAGACATCAAATGTTGAAGACTGTGATGGTTAATTTTTGGTGTCCACTTGGTTCATGTAAAGGATACTAGACAGCTGGTAAAACATTATTTTTGGGTGTATCTGCGGACTGGGGTGGGGGGACCCACATCAGTATGGGTGCGCACCATCAAATTGGGTGGGCACCATCAAATTGGGTGGGCACCATCAAATTGGCTAATGGTTTGGATAGAACAAAATGGAGAAAAGGTACATTTACTCTTTTCACTACAACTGGGATAACATTTTTCTGCCCCTGGACATCAAAACTCCAAGTTCTTGAGACTTTGAATTCTGAAATTTCCACCAGTGGTCCTCCTAGTTTCTTGGGCCTTTGGCTCTTGACTGAGAATTACATGACTGGCTTCCCTGGTTCTGAGGGTTTCATACTTAGACTAAGCCACAGTATGGACCACCATAATTGTGTAAACCAATTCCTCTAATAAATCCTCTTATCCATCCATCTTGCTGTAGAACCTTATTATAAAGTAGTAGGGATTGAACTCAGGACATCGCACATGTTAGGCAAGTGCTCTACCACTGTGCTACATCCACAACCTCGTATTTATTCTGGGTCAGGGTCTCACCAAATTGCCCAGGCTATCCTCGAACTTCTGATCCTCCTGCCTCAGCCACCTAATAGTTGGGATTATAGATGTGTGCCACACCTGATTTAGAGATTAGGCCTTTAA